CTATTAGATATATGAACTTAGTTTTGCTCAAAGTGTGTTTCTGTGTATTTGTGTTTTTGAATTGTTTCTTTTCTTTTATTCTTTGAAGTGCTATATATACCTGATTTTTTAACAAGCCTTGTCAATAAGATTGAATTTTCTTGGACAATAAAGTATATGTCTATCCATCTACCTAATCTATATGCTTTTTTCAAATCTATCTCTTTTTAATATACATTTCATGTGCTCTTAACTGTTTATTGCCTTGTATTGAAAAAATATTGAAACTCGCAGTTTATAATCAACTCATTGAATATCTAGAAAATAATGATATTTTACTAAAATATCAGTCAGGTTTCGGAAAATGACCATTCATGTGAGTCTGCATTATAAGTCACAATATCGAAATGGAAAGAATCAATAGTTAAGGGACATTATATTATAGCTGTATTTTTATATCTTAAAAGAGCTTTTGAGACAATTGATCGCCGCATATTACTAAATAAACTGCAAAGTATTGCTATTAGGGAAACTGTTTTGTTATGGCTCACTGATTATTTATCACAATGCAAACAGGTAACCAAGATAAAGGATTCAGTGTCATCATCTCACGATGTGGTTTTTGGGGTACCTCAGGGGAGCGTTTTGGGACTTATATTATTTTAAATATACCTGAATGATATAGATACCATCCATGGTTGTGATTTCATGAACCTTTTTGCAGACGACTCTTTGTTATCAATTTCAGGAGATAATATAGAAACACTAGCTGATCAAATGAATAATGAACTAAAAAATGTTTTCAAGTACATGAATCGCAATAAACTAAAACTCGACACCTCCAAAACAAAATATATGAACTTATCAACTTGTTATAAGCTATCACTCATCAACAAACACAACATAAGATTACGAATTGCAGGTGATGTAATAGAGTTGGTAAGTGAATTCAAACACTTAGGTTTCATGGTGGATAATCGTTTATCTCTTCATGATCATTTTGATTATAGATACTAAAGAAATTTATTTTTTCTCAAGAATTTCATCTCAGCTTTTGATGTACTCAAAAATTACATTATATAATTGTATAATCCAACCACATTTTGATTATTGTGCTAGTCTTTTATACTCATTTGACCAAAATAAGGTATGTCTTTTACAAAAGTTACAGAGTCGTGAAATGAGGATTATTTTACAAGTGAATAGGTATACAAGTATATCAAACACATCTATTATTAGATGCGTGGAACATGTATCTTTTCCTTTTTACATTATTTATAAAAGCTACATTATTATAAACAGATCATATGTCTGCATCTTATACGTAGTTTTAATCAAGAAGAATTGAATGATTGCATTTTTCCTTGTTTTCACCTGATTCTATTTTTCTTTCAAGCATCCTCTTCTGTCAAAAACAACAACAGCAACACTCAGATGAACGGTAACGGGGACAACAAACACAACGAAACTCCCCCTCAGCTACCCCCTTATACGAAAATAAAACATCAGTCTCCGATACCTGAACGAAAAAAAATCAGCAAAGAAAAAGAAGAGGAAAGACGAGACGGCAAAGTGAAAAACTACTCTCCCCAAGCATTCAAATTCTTCATGGAACAACACATCGAAAACGTGATAAAGTCTTACAAGCAACGGATGTTCAGGCGTATGCAGCTCGAAAAAGAGATGAACAAAATAGGGCTCAGCCCCGAGGCGCAGATGCAGATGAGGAAGATGCTGTCTCAGAAGGAATCGAACTACATCAGATTGAAACGGGCGAAGATGGACAAGAGCATGTTTGTTCGAATAAAACCGATAGGGGTGGGGGCTTTTGGAGAAGTCACGCTAGTCAGGAAAATCGACACGAACCACCTGTATGCCATGAAGACTTTGAGGAAGGCGGAAGTATTGAAGAGAAACCAGGTGGCGCATGTAAAGGCGGAGCGGGACATCCTCGCCGAAGCAGATAACGAGTGGGTCGTCAAGTTGTATTATTCGTTTCAGGATTCGGATATTCTCTATTTCGTTATGGATTATATTCCCGGCGGAGATTTGATGTCTTTGCTTATCAAACTGGGGATATTTGAGGAGCGACTGGCAAGGTAAGTCTATCTGTTCTGTGAAAAGAATCTTCAGTAATAGTTTATCTATTTAGTTAGTCATCCATACTGTAATATACTTCTGAAATATAATATTGCCATTTGTAATTGTCTATGTATAAAAATGATCGAAGAAATCACTATAGTCGACGCAGAAACGTAAAATTGTTCTGTGTTAAAAGACTCCGCCCACTTGAGTCATATTTCACATTGTCAGTAGCGCAACAGCCAGAAGTAAATAGTTTTGAGTAAGGCATTAAATTATAAGTTGAGTCGTGAGGGAAGTTATAAGTTAATAAGACAATTTTATAACTTTAAACGTGTAATATCAAATGTGTAAAATTACTTCAAAAGAAGAAAGGGTGAACTGGACACTTTGTTAATGGTGAAAAGTAAAACATCGCAAACAACAAGTGAATAACTTTAAATAACATTCGAATATTATTTATTGAGTTTATGGTAACCAATTATTTGATTCTATAATTTTTAATAAATAACTATTAGATAAACATATTTTTCAAATGAATAGCCAATCACAATTATATAATTTGTAAAATTTGATGGGGGAACCAGGAATTTCAATGAAAATGTTATGGTGCTGTTCTCAATTAATATTCTCAAATCTATTGTTACATTTTTATCCGTGGATTCACCAATAATTGACTACACAGAATAGTCAAACTTAACTTTATTTCACTTCAAATACACCAAACACTTCAACTAAAAATTTCAACCATTATTTTAATGTCTATCGCCTTACCAGATCACATCGCGTACCGCACTGCAGCGTCCACTTCGCGGTGTACTTGACTGTCCGAATACGCTTACAGCCAGCGTTTAAATATCGCAATGAAACATCGTAAAATTTTCGCCGAAGTCCCATCGACATCAGTAGCATGTTTTTTGCTTCAGTAGCATGTTTTTTGCTGCTTCCGAGCGACAAGTAACATTGGATATTCCCACGCTCCCAACTACGTCACGTTTGTTTTATTGTTACCAGTGGCGGCCGGTGATATTTCCTTTTGGGTATGATTTACAACACTATGATAGTTTGATGATTTTTTGTATTAACAAATATTGGATACTTATAATAATAATAATATTCTTTATTGCCGTAAAATCAACTGAGGACATGGCATGTCAGGGGGTTATAAAACAATATATTAAAATGTATGTACAGTGACAAGGTCACAATACAATTCATTGACTGAGTAAAGTAAATACAAGTATGCATAAATACATCTACTAAAAATTATTGTAGTTTGAAAGTTAATAAGACAAATACATTAAGAGCCATCACCAGCTATTGAAACTGTAATAATTTTTTTCTTTTAGATACTCTATCGTTAGGAGTCTGAATTTTCTCAGGTACTTAGTATTTTTTATTTCAGTTGGGAATGATTGATATGCCTTAATGGCTTTATAGTGGGGTCCCTTCTCATAAAATGATGTGTGTTTTTATTTATTGCCATTTGATCGGAATAATGATCACAATTCTTTGTAAAGATGTGGTAGTGTTTTTTTTTTGCAAAAGTTACAAAAGTACAAGGAAGGAACGGTTAATATAGCAACTGATACTGCTATCAACTGTGACCCCCAAAAATTTGAAATCGTTTATTTCTGGAATAGATTTATCTTCCAATTTGACATAGATCGATTCCTGTCTATTTTGGAAAGTTCTAAAGTGGATTAGTCCTGTTTGGTTTGTGTTCAATTTTAATCCGTTCTCCGAACACCACCTGAACATTTTTCCGCTATCTCAGATAACCCTCTGGAGAGAGCTCTTGAATCAGACCCAGACACTGTTACCGACGTATCATCTGCGAATTGACAGACTAGACCTGTACCAAGTGATTGTGGAAGGTCATTCACGTATATCAAGAACAATATTGGTCCTAGGATAGACCCCTGTGGAACTGCTTGAGTAATTAGATTTCTATCAGAATAAGTTTGTTGGTCATTTTGAATGTCTACGACTTTGTATCTTCCATACAAATATGATTTTATAAGGTCGTGTGCATTGCCTCTAATTCCATTATCTTCTAGTTTATCTAGTGAAATAGTATGACTGACTTTGATAGATCAAAGTACAAGCTTCCTACCCTATTACTTTCCTCAATATTATTCATAATTTCTGTTATCGTAATATGAATTGCAAGTTCAGTTGACATCCCTTGTCTAAATCCTTATTGTTGTGGAGCAAGTACCTTATTTAGATTCAAAAAGGTTTGCAATCGCTTGTAGGTTACTTTCTCAAAGACCTTTGAAGTCGAAGGTAGAATGGATATCGGCCTGTAGTTATTTAAATCCGCTTTCGATCCTTTTTTGTGGATCGGTATTACTCTTGCTATTTTCAACTTATCTAGGAAGATACCAGAACCAGACTTTCATTTATTGCATCTACCAGAGGATCACAAATGAATTTCACAGCTTTTTTAGACTTAAGGAGGAATGGAGTCAATAAGTTTGTTGGTCATTTTGAATGTCTACGACTTTGTATCTTCCATACAAATATGATTTTATAAAGTCGTGTGCATTGCCTCTAATTCCATTATCTTCTAGTTTATCTAGTGAAATAGTATGACTGACTTTGATAGATCAAAGTACCAGCTTCCTACCCTATTACTTTCCTCAATATTATTCATAATTTCTGTTATCGCAATATGAATTGCAAGTTCAGTTGACATCCCTTGTCTAAATCCTTATTGTTGTGGAGCAAGTATCTTATTTAGATTCAAAAAGGGTTTGCAATCGCTTGAAGGTTACTTTCTCAAAGACCTTTGAAGGAGAAGGTAGAATGGATATCGGTCTGTAGTTATTTAAATCCGCTTTCGATCCTTTTTTGTGGATCGGTATTACTCTTGCTATTTTCAACTTATCTAGGAAGATACCAGAACCAGAGTTTCATTTATTGCATCTACCAGAGGATCACAAATGAATCTCGCAGCTTTTTTAGAATTAAGGGGGGAATGGAGTCAAATCCACTAGCAAATTTCGGTTGTAGGTCATTCAAAATATTGTATATTTCTGTATGATTAGTCGGTTCTAAAAATATTGTGGCTTTGTTCTTCGGCTAATCCTGTACTACCTGAGTTCTTACTGCATGTTTGGGTTGTAAAGTGGTTGTTAAACATCCTAGCAACTTCCTTTGGTTTTGATATCATCGTGTTGTTTTCTGTTTTGATTGTGATGCAGCTATTATTTGTTACTTTAGCATCATTTGTATTTTTCAGAATGTTCCACATTGTTTTCGATTTATTCTTGGAATTTGTTATCCGATTATCATTCATTGATGTTTTGTAATCTTAGTTTGAGACACTCTGTAGATCTGTCAGTGACCAATTTATTGAAGCACAATAGACTTATAAAAGTAATACCCATTATAAAATATCATCTTAGTTGGGGCATACTATATTTGCATAGCTTTTTTGAATGTTATGAAAACGTTATCGCTTTTTTATTGCGGTAAAGTACGTGAATGACACTGTCTCTGGATTATCAGCACAACAATGAATCATACACCCAACAAAACATCACATTTCTTTCAAACCTTACAGATTTTACATAGCAGAATTGACATGCGCAGTCGAAAGCGTCCACAAAATGGGGTTCATCCACAGAGACATCAAACCCGACAACATCTTGATAGACAAAGACGGCCATATCAAACTGACCGACTTCGGTCTATGCACCGGTTTCCGTTGGACCCACAATTCGAAGTACTACCAACCTAACGGTTAGTTTTGCTTCTGTAATAATTATGTCCCTATTGTAACTTGCGTTGTGTCGTTTCAGGAGACCACAGTAGGCAAGACTCGATGGATCCGATCGACGACTGGAATGAAGAGTGCAAGTGCAAGAGTCTGAAGCCTTTGGAGAGGCGGAGACGCCGCGAGCATCGATGTTTGGCGCACTCTCTGGTCGGCACGCCGAACTACATCGCACCCGAGGTTTTGCAACGGACCGGATACACGCGCGTGTGCGATTGGTGGAGTGTAGGAGTGATTCTGTACGAGATGCTGGTGGGTCAGCCGCCGTTCTTGGCGAATACACCGGCAGAAACGCAGTACAAGGTGAGTTCTTAAGGTTTGTTCAATTTCCAAGTTGGAACTATGCGAAAATCTCAATTTGTTATGCATTGTCTCCATTATTGACATTTGCTTGGTCTTTGTAGAAGTGAAGAGACGTGTGTAAGTTGCTCCTGCAAATTTTACTAATTTTCATGGTTTAATTTCTATAGTTGAAGGATAACTTTACCTTTGGCTACGATAGAATCCCAAGCTTCTTGGTCAAATATTGTGCTCATATCCTAACCAAACCTCTCCAAATCATCATCAATTTTACATTGAAAACAAACACCTTCCCATAAGTTTGGAAAATAAGTAAAGTCAGTCCCATTTTTAAAGCAGATGAGATAAATGACATGATAAACTTTGCTCTGTAACTTTGCGAAGGAGTTAAAGATATATATCTATCATAGAATTATTATAATTTTTTTGTATTGAAGTAATTAGAAGTCGAGTATTACCTCAGTTTGTGACCTATGGGAATCATCACAGTAGATACACCTCACTTGATTATGTATTTGGTGACAGCGGTGGGATTTCAACCCGTGCCCTTCGACTAGTGCCTACAACGAGTGTCATATCCATCAATCAATCAATCATTTATTTCCCATAATTGACAACATACATTGTATAGGGATAGGCACAGAAACTACGCAACTATAAAACTTACAAACTAATGAGTGTATATTACAAATAAGTAAATCACGTACACAAAATTCGGTCACAGTATAAAAAACTTTGTCCAATAAAAATATTTTGAGTTCTTTTTTAAATTCTATTTCCCTAGTACAATTTCTTAATGACTCGGGTAATTTGTTAAATAACCTTGGCTCAATACAGTTTGGCGAAGAACTGGTAACATTCAATCTGGCAAAAGGTATACGCAAGTGGTTCTTTTGTCTCGTATTGATATTATGTGTGTTATAATTCTTCGGGATTCCTTTCCTATTTCTATAGACAAATAAACATATCTCAAAAATAAATAATCCAGTCAGAGTTGAAATGTTCAGTTTTTTTAAAAGATCTCTGCAAGAGTGTTGTCTTGATTTTCCTGCTAAGCACCTTACGATTCTTTTTTGTGCAATAAATGTGTTCCTAGAATGTATGGAGTTGCCCCAGAAATGAATCCCATATCTCAAACGAGATTCCACCTGTGCACGGTAGAAGTTCATTAATTGTTTACCCATCCCATGAACAACAGTAACAAATAATCTATGATAGCGTACAATCGGTTCATCAGATATCAATTATACTAATGAATATTGTAATTTTTCAATAAATCAAATTTCGGCAGTTGAGAATTGACATGCTTTCTTATTTTTCTCCAGGTTATAAACTGGGAGACAACTCTCCAGATACCGAAGCAAGCGAATCTCTCTAAAGAGAGTACGGACTTGATACTTAAACTGTGCTGTAGTGCGGACAAACGTTTAGGGAAGAACGCCTGTGAAGTGAAATCTCACCCGTTCTTCAAAGACATTGATTTCGAGAAGGGGCTGCGACGTCAGCCCGCTCCACACAAACCTCGCATAGATTATCCTACAGACACGTCGAATTTCGATCCGATCGACCCTGACAGACTTCGTAATTCCACCTCACTGGATTCCAGCACGTCAGAGGAATTCCTAGACAACTCGAAACTCTTCCACGGCTTTTTCGAGTTCACGTTCCGGAGGTTTTTCGACGACGGAGGCCTGGCGGCCTTCAACAAGATCAACCTGGACGACAACGACAATCAAGGTGGGCCCGTCTACGTGTGACGTTCAGTACAGGGAGAAACGGAAGGGGTGGAACCCCAAGTAATTTGACTCGAGATTCTGAGTAGACCTACCAAGGCCCTTACTCTTGCCAAAAGTCCCATTTGTTCAAAGCAAAGGTTTTTCTACGTCGCGGGGAAATTTGTGTTTTGTGTTTCATTTTGCTGTTAGTACTCAGAATACCATAAATAAGGGGTAGTAAGAAATTAGCTTTTATTTTGAGATTGCGATATTTATCTGAAAACAATTACAATAGTTTCTTACATTACAAATATTTTTTTGATTATTTTTTGTAAAATACTCAAATATTAGTAGAGAATTAAATTTGTATATAATGCTAGAAAGGCAATTAATTTAAAATGATTTTGAGGTTGAAAATGAAGTAAGTAAAAAGAATTCTAAAGGTGCAGAAAAGAATTCAAATCATAGTTAGGAAGTAGGAAGGTGAATATTCTTAAAAATAAAATTTTCAGAATTCTGAGATGAAAGTTACAATTTAACAATATACCTAGTTCAAAATCTTGGAATTTTTGGCAAATGTTGACTTTAAATTGGGAATTTTGTTTGATTCCAACTCCTAATTCGGAATTTCATCAAAGCCCAATTTTGAAAATCTCGAATTTTTGTTGAAATTTGACTCTAAACTCTTTTTTTTTTAATTCCGACTTTCAACTCAAAATTTAAGTTTATTTTGTCCATAATGTCGGAACNATCAACAAAAACAAAGAATTTCATAACACTTACGAAGTGCCTTTCGAAGTGCCTTATGTTATATTTTGAGGCAATTTTGAGGTTTTTTCTTTCTTTCTTGATCTGAATGAGTACCTACGCAGTCACGAGAAGCTTCAGAAAATAATAAATGGAATCCGTTATGATTTTTTTACATCCCCTTATTTATCTGAAAACCCACATCTTTATCAAGATGAAAACAAGAAAGAGTATTGGTGTGAAAAGTTTGATATATAACCAAAGTTCTATTCTAGCTGCCTTATAATAAATATATGAATGAAATGGCCTTTTCCTGCTCAAAGTGTCCTAGTTCCGTAAGGTTTAAGGAAAGAAGGCTCTAAAGGACCGAGGTTTTTCATCGTTATGTTCTTTTGGGATTTTGAGGATGACTGGTTCGACTCGGCAAATAATAACACGATATTCAAACATCGTGTTATGAAGAATTCCTCTGGATTCATATTTTTTTTGCTTTTAATGCTTAATGAACATCGTAAAAACAATAGTTGTGTGATCAACTTTGAGTAAACAAATGAAAATTCAATTAGCAATCTTATAATGTTGTATAAATTGAAAGAAATATTTTTTGAGTGAGATTAGTAACTTCTATGCATGATCTACATGTCTTTGGAAAGAGTTTATTTTGAAATTATTGTGAAATTTTCACCAAGCAGTTTACAAAACGGCTAAGCACATTTCACTCCTGATAAAACCATTCTTCTACGGCGATTTTCACTAAACAATGAAAAAACCTCAACACGCGTTTCGCTATACAATAGCTTCATCAAATGTGAAACACGTGTTGCAGTTTTATAAAATCTTTAGTGGAAATCCCGCCATAATGTGTAAGTTGAATATGTTATGGATTTTCATCAAGTATCGACCAATTCCATCACATGCTTTGAAATTAATTGCTTTCTTGCTTCCCACAATTTTCTGTATAAAGATAGAGAAGTGAAAGCCAGAAAGCTTTTTTCCTATAGTGTTGTCGTTTGCAACTAATATTCTTACAGATTTACAAAAAAAAATACCTACTTGGGGAAGGGGCGCATTAAAATGTTTTTTCAGATCACTATTACCAATGGCCGTTTTTCAGATCTGGCAATCTTTCCAATAAAAAAAATTTGTGTTGTGGATGGCCGCTCGATATTAAATCAACAGGTTCAGTTTAGGAGTTCTTACGTTAAACACGCCACTGGAAATTATTCTGAAAATTGAAGAAACATTGTAAAGCTAAAACAAAAATCAGGAACCTAGGTTTGAAGAAGGGTTTTTTATGTTTTCTTTAGAGAATCACATTTTTAAATAATATCAATCTCAGTGTCAAAGCTATTTTCCGTTTTTTTTTTGGTTGTGTGCAGGGTTTCATGCCTGTCGTTTCGTCAATTACTACGGTAGATATCAAACATTATGAGACAATGGTCGAAGTGCTTGGGTAGTTGTTCCCAACGCATAAACTACGAAGCCGGTATTCGACTCTAGTTTTATATTATTAATATTAGTGAACGTGACTTGGTTTCTCTCAATTGGATTACCTGACCTTGTTTGTGTACAATTAAGGATAGGTAGCCAGATTTTATTAATGTTCATTACCTCTTCTATTGAAATTATCTCTGTGTTTTTGAATATCTATTGACTCTCTACATACTCTTGAATAGTAATTTTGAGTTTCATCATGTATTACTCTATCTTTGAAGGAGATAATGTGAGTGCCATCTTTTTTGAGAGCTTATCGGCTACAGCCGATTTGTCAGTTTGTCCGAGTCGGCAATTTCTCTTGTATTCAGAAAGACAGGTACCTATATTTTCGTGGTTACAAAGTAGACCCACAGCTACAAGGAATCTTGTATACCCCGGGTGTTGCTGAGAGTTTTCTGGGGTCCTTAGCTGACCTTGGACTTTCTTCTGATAGTTTGTGTTGGTTAAATATTGGTTTCACGTCGTGTTTCTCTAAGATTCTCCAAATCCGGTGTAAGATTTTTAACATAGGGAAGGAAATATAATGTCTACCGCAGTATTAGACGAAACGCCAGGCATAAAACTCTCCGGACCAGCCAAAAACCTGGACAGCTTTGACACATTCATCTCCGGCCTTGAAAGTTTATATTCTCTTATAATAATAATCTCAGTTTTGTTATTTACAGTTAAACGATAACATCAACACAAATATGTGAAGATTCCTGCTCATGAAAATTTATATAAATGAATGAATATCACACGAATATTGAATTACAGTTATACAGGTCGTTTTTCAGCTTATACCAATATTGCTATCTCGGAAAAAAAAAAGCAATGGGCAGTTGCAATGAAGCAATTGAATTGCTGTTCATGTAGTGAAAACAGTTCACGACAGAACCTGCGAATTGAACCAGTTTTTATTTGTTCGTTGGGTGGAATTCGAGTTTTGAGTTTGTTTTCGTAACTTGAACAAGTTTTTCGTTCATTTTTTCTGTTTTTGAAAACGAAACTAGTGGCAAGCGAGTCCGTTTGGTCTTCCTTGGATTGGTTCAGCAAGTGAGTATGCTACTTTCTTGAAAAAGCGACACCACTAACCTACATACCACAGGATAATTTTTCATAAATAGATATAATTGATATCGGACTTTGCAGTTTGTTTTTGTTTGAGAAATTTTTCATAAAGAAGGCGCCAACTTGGTGAAACGCGCGTCGAGAATAGTATTGCAGTTCTGGTGATTGGGAAAAGTGCTTGTTTTTGGAATGTTCTAGTCTTCTTAATTCAATCAGAAACTAGCTCAGATTCGTTTTGTCGAGAAGTAAATGAATGAATGATTTAATGAGTTTGCTCTTCATTTCTAGTGAAAAACTCCTATATAGTGCAGAATTTAACGGTGTAACCGTATAATTAGTATAACAGTCAGGTTTATTTGGTTAATATCAGAAATTTCTCATGAATAACCTCCCAAGGAACATAACGATGAAGAACCTACCCTGGAATTTCAATTTGTATCCTATAAACAGAGTTGAATTCTATAGTATAAGTATTTGAAAATTGAAAAAATGGTGCTACTTTTACTATTTAATGTCGCAAATGTGATATAAAATCGCCCATTAACAAACCTTTCCAGACTAATTCTGGAATTTTCTAAATGGATTTTTCTAGTCACCAACTAGAAAGCAAAATGAATGCTTTCGAATTATTGATTGTACGGGGTATCGCTAGGCCAACGCCTTAGAGGATGTGTGATTGGTTCCAGCTGATTATATCTGGCAAGGTTTGTTTGGGTGCGATTGTATTGAACAATATAAATTATTGGTTTTTGTTTATATGTAAATAATTCAAACAACGAATATGTAAAGAGCATAGAAGTTTTAAAAATGTAAAGAGATGCTGTTCAGCCAGTGATGTTATTAAAATATTTTTCGAAGTGGTAATGTTGGTTGTAAAGATATTTCGGAAGTTTCTGGAATGAAGTCGGGACGCACTGCCTCATACTAATTTATGAAATGTATTCAGAGATATAGGTCAAAGATGTAGAGTAGTTTGAAGTTAACTTATTATTTTCAAAAAAAAGCTGTGTTATAATTGATTTGAGTTCATATGTAGTTTTTGCTCAGTATTTGCTTAAAAATGTTGAATTAAGAATATTTATTTACTTCCAATATTTCTCTTTTTAACATACTAGCAACTAAGTATGGATTAATTTTAGAACGTAATTTTTCTAGTCTATCAATTTTTTATTATCCGAATATTCATTTTAAATGTTGTTTCATATGACATTGTTCCTTAATACGGAGTAAATTTTTTTAAATTCAGGCATTATATGTTTCAAACAACTTTCAAGTCAAAAGTGCCTTAGTTTTAGATTGCAAAATTGTACATGTGTGTAAATATATATATTTTTGAAACAAGTTTATCTAGTTTTATTATTGTATATTTATTTATTATCAAATTATTCACTTGTTGAAAGGTACAATGGAAAAAAAGATGAAAAAACATCTTCCAATATACAATAACAAGGAAAAAGTCAGATTAAAAAAAAACTAGGTATTTAGAAATGATTTGCCAAATGAAAAAGAAACACAAATAACATGGAGAGGTATAAAATCATCGATAAAATTCATCCAAGGAGTAGCAATTTTTTTCATTTTAAAAAGTTTTCAATCTTGATTTAAAAATATTTATATTAGGGGCTGCCTTTATATTTACGTCTAATTTGTTGAATTGTTGAATGAGATAAAGATGGATAATCATGAGTTTGCTTGTTCGATAAAAAACTTGATCTGTCATTATAAACAAAAATACGAAATTCATAAATATATTAGGGGCTGCCTTTATATTTACGTCTAATTTGTTGAATGAGATAAAGATGGCTTTTCTGGTAGAAGGCTGTTCGATGTGATCGAGGTACTAGCAAATTTCCAGAGCGAGTTGGAAAATCATGAGTTTGCTTGTTCGATAAAAAACTTGATATGTCATTATAAACAAAAATATGTAATTCATAAACATATATCCCAACAACCGTAAGAAGTTTCAGGTTTGTGAAAGAGCTCCTGCATGACTCTCTCTCCAAGTTTAGCAATTATTCGGACTGACGACTTTTGTAATATGAAAATCCTTTCCACGGACGATCCCGTACCCCAATTCAAAATCCCGTATCGCAAATGACAATGAATAATGGCATAGTACAGAGTCAACAAGATTTCAGCATTACAGTAGTTAGACAAGAATCTTAACGCATAACAATTTTTACGTGGTTTTTCACAAAGTGAGTCGATATGTGGTGTCCAGGTGAGTCTGTAATCAACTGTGATGCCTAATAATTTAGTTTCTTTAGAGGATTCTACATGAAAATCATCATCCTCATATATACTGAAAATCTCGGACTCATTTGTAACCCTAGTTAATTTCATCAGCACAGTTTTAGTTATATTGAGTTTCAGGTGATTTTTACTTGCCCATGTTATAATTTGCTGGTATACCTTTCCACTAATATCTTATAGAGTTGACGAGTCTTTCTCTGTTGAAAGGAAATTTGTATCATCCGCATATGTTACCACGAAAGTTGTTGAAAATAGTGAAACAAGTCATTCGCAAAAATGATGAAGAAAAGTGGTCCGAGTATAGATCCTTGAGGGACACCTTGCTCTATTTTCCGTGATTCACTCACAGGACCGTCAACAATAACTCGTTGAATTCTGCCTTGCAGATATGATTTAATTAACTTGTGAGCAGTCCCTCTCACGCCATATCGTTCCAACTTCTGTAGCAGTATAACTGTGAACCAGACATAACAATTCTCGCGTCTAGCTAGAAAATGTATGGGGAACTCTTGTCTTCCAGAAATGATACCAATATGGTCAACATTTTAATATATTAGGTGGGCTGAGAAGTTCGTAGGCTAAAACACAGATGGCGCTTGTCAAATCCATATGATTTTTAGTTAATCCTAACCTTTAAAAGACACGTACAAATTTCACAGCTCCTGGAATATTAGTTTGTGGGATTGAACATTTGGAGTGAAGCAACTTTTGTTAGTCTGAAGAAAATGGATGAAAAGAATTTCGTATATTGATAAAGCATTACTTTTTGCACCAGGAAAATCAACCACTGGAAAGTGGTTTGCTAAGTTTAAACGAGGTGAACTGAGCACCGATGATGATGCACGCAGTGTACGTACTAAAGAGGTTGTTACCGACGAAACCATAAAAAAAGTCCAAAAAATAATTTTCGATGACCACAAAGTGATGTTGTTGATTGATATAGCTGAGGCTCTAAAGATATCAAATAATTGTCATCTGAGTGGACTACACGTGGTGAACCGACTCCAAAGCGTGCAAAAACGCAATAGTCGGCTGACAAAGTTATATATGGTATCAGTATTTTGGAATGAGCATGGTTTAATATTGAATAACGAAATCGCGAACAAACGGACCACTTGGAAAGTTATATTTCATCAAGACAATACACCGTGTTACAAATCAATGAAAATGATGGCAACATTGCATGAATTGGGCTTCGAGTTGCTTCCGCATCCACCGTGTTCTCTAGATCTGACTCCTATCGACTTTTTTCTCGCTGGAAAGAAATTTAGCACCGATGAAGAGATAATATTCGAAACAGACCTATTTTGAGGCTAATGATAAATTGTACCATGAAAAATGGTATCGTAAAATTGAATGACAGCTATAACCGTTGTGTCGCCCTGGAAGACAACTATATTGAATAATGAAATAAAATTTTATCAATCCACAATAACGGAAGTTTTCTTCGTATTGCTTCTCGGGACAAAATTTCATATGTTGAACATATGTTTAACATATGTGTTGAACATATGTTCAAGACGAGCTTACCAACATAAAAAATCAAAATCTCTAATCAAAAACAGCTTTTCTTTACACGGATAATAATAACGTTTTTATATAAAGTGACACTTTTCAATATTGTTGCAGTTGTTTTGAAACCATCACTTATGTTAAAGTTATACTTTTTCACCTGATCAGAAATAATTAACTTATTTCGTCACTAATTATAAAAAACGAAACCACATATTTTTGCAGTTCAATCTTGTATTTATTGAAGTCAAAATTAAGTACAGTTGGATCTGTATAGATATATTGAATATGATGGATTATGAGGCGTATTCTTTGCTGCCTTGTCAATAAAAGTGATAAGTGGTTTGTGGACTTTATGAATAAAAAAATATGTCTAGTCTATTTATGTTAACAAAAACCATGATATGATAAAAACAGATGCATATTATTCCTAAAACTTTGATAACATTTCCTTTCAGGATCCAATAAAAATAATTTAGTCATCTACTGGAACTGCCCAAAACAAGCGCTTTTCTCAAACACCAGGACAGCAGCATAAGTAAACGGTTTACTTCATCGTCCTGAAGATAGCAACTGGGTTGGTGAAACATGCGTCGAGAACAGTAATGCAGATCTGATACTTGTTTTGGATATTTTCTATGCCAGAGATTCCAGTTTTACCTTTCAAAACTGCAACGTTTTTCAATCCCCCCAGAATGCAAATTAAAAATTTGCAAATCTGCGTTCTTTACAAAAATAGCTTCCTTTGTAGCTCCCCTATTCAGTATGGTAGTAACCATATAGATTTAAAAATACAAAAAACCGTTTCAAGACATTTAACCTAGATTTGATTTAACTGGTTGTTTTCGTAGAAACATCAATTACTCAAAACTTTGTTGAAGTGACCTACTCCACTTTCATTCTAATCAGCTCATTTGATTTAGTTTCCTGCATTACATTCATTAATAAAGCATTATTCCTAAAATTTTCTACACAATACTGATTGAATTGCCATTTTCTCTAGAATCGTAAAATATCTTAACATAAAATAAAAGATCACGAATTACACTGCCTTTTCTCTACTTCCTGAGGAGTTTATTAACAAATATGATAAATTTAGGTGAATCATTCATAGTTCAATATTGTCTATCTTTATATTCGCCATCGTTCTCCCAAAAACAATCTAGATATCTATGATACGAAGAGATTACAGTTTTTGTAGTTCCAGGTAGTTCATACTTGACAGAAATTCTTGGACATGAAAAAACATTGTTAATGTTTGTACATTTCTACAACACAGGGAAATTATTATTAATCAATGGGGAAATGTAAAATTTTCAGAGAATGACGCATAAAAATAAGAGAATAACTATATATTCAAAGTTCCCGGTCATATTCTTTAGTAGTTTTGTGGTGGAGAAAACATTCTGGGCAACTTGCGCTTGCGCATTTAAAAAAATGTAAGAATCTGACGTTTCTTGTCAAAGGGGCGTACAAATCATCAACAAAACATCGCGACGCCATTTTGTGTATGTAATAAAATCAAAAACAGAATCAAGATTTGTACAAATCATCTTCGGTATTTTTCAAACCATATTGGAAGTAATGTTTCTGTGATAAATAGGGTGTATTGAATAGGACGATATTTTCTTTGTGATATGTGGTAAAGTTTCTTTGTGTTGATTTTTTGAGGATATAGAACTTAATTTATAGAAAAAAAACCATCCTCGATAAAGATGAGTACAAAGGACGATGAATATGACTATTTATTCAAAGGTAAGACTTATAAATAGCCGAATCAATTCTCTTCCTTATAATTATTATTGACATGTCAGCAAAGTCGGAGGTCAAGTTGTTGCTATTAAAGAGAAAAAAACATCAATAAAGTCATTTCGGTAATTTCGCTCTATATTTAAAGAAATCAATACCAGACAGTGTCTTTATTTTTTAAGTGTACCACTTTACCTAATTTGATGATTCATTCATGTCAGTCATAATATAGAAATGAATATATGTAGCATCCTAGATACTTTCTAATCTGATTATAACATTTATATTTCAGTGGTCCTTATTGGAGATTCTGGCGTAGGAAAAAGTAACTTACTATCAAGATTTACTAGAAATGAATTCAATTTGGAGTCTAAATCCACTATAGGTGTTGAATTTGCAACAAGAAGTATACAGGTGAATATTTTCAAAAGTTTATTCAAATCCATTTCATTCACAACTATTTATGTGGTGTTATTGCAGTAAAAAATGTATACTGCTTTTGCAGATGACACAAGCTCAAATAAATCTTATGATGGCTAATAAAACTATCAAGTACTTGGTTTATTAGAAATGACCTCAAACTGAATGATATAACTTAAAACTAAAAATGTTTTCAGTAAATATTTGTTTTAACTGCTAGTAATTGTTTCTTAAACATTTTTAATTGGACTGATTTAATTGTCCACTGATCATGAATCTGAAGACAAAACTTGGCGCTACGGTCTACTTTTGGGACACAGTCAATCAAAAGTCGTAACTGTTTCCAAATTCGATTTTTTTAGGAACTCTTAGTAATAACCTGTAAAGTAACACCTTTTTTCAAAAACACATTTTGAGAATCTTCTTTATTTCAAATGTTTTCGCAGAATAGAAACTTATGTTCCCCTAAAACAACCTTTTTTGAAAAATGATCAGTAATTCTGAAAAAATCAACTTCGAAAAAATAAATATTTCAAAATGAAACTTCAAAACATTCATCTCTCCCAACATACCTACATAGTAGGTTCTGTTAAATGGGGAATCAACTTCAAATTACATTGACAAAAAAATATTGAAATCAAGAAAAAGAAAACACATCAACAAACCTCTCATGAAGAATTTTCTCATAAAAAAATGTAGAATGCCATGGCAAGTTCCAGTTTTGCCAGTCGTAATATGAACACATCATACTAGATGTTGAAAAACCTAAGTGATTTCTATAGGGTTGGTATTAGGATCTTTGATAGGTTTCCTGAATAACTTGAAATTATTTAATTACCTTATCGACAATGACAAGTGGTTATACATTTTTAACTCATTATATACAGGACTATTTTTAATCACACCGTAGATTTGTGATGACAGTATTAGATTTTGGGGTTACTTTGGAGCTATCTCCTCAAATTATTTGATATCAGTATTGTTTTCAAAATTATTTAGGTGATAGAAAGCAATGTGTATCTTCCAAAAAAAATTAAGGAAAAATATTGTTTGTGGGGTCTCCTGAGATCTGTATTAAAATCTCCACTGTTTCTCATTCACGTATATTATTTTTCTGAATTACAGCTTTTTGGAAAGATGATTCATCTTTGCTGTATTTTAAAAAATCGTCAATGATAAAAGGTCCAAATTATTATAGTACAAAACAGAATTAAAAGGTCTCCTAGTGTTGAGTTTTTAGGTTTTATCTACAGATGAAACCCTTTTGTGAGATATTCAATCACTTCCTGTGATGAAAACTCCTTTGTAAATTTCTGTAATGAAATTTTTCCTTTACAAAGCCAGTTGCAGACATCGTTTTGTTATATTGATTGAACATTTCAGTTTCCAAGTTAAACCTGTTGGGCATGTTAGAAATAATGGAAGCTTATCTATTCTGGAATGTTTCAATAAGTAGCTTTTGTTAATTCTGTTCTATTTTAGGATTTCTATTTACTTTATCACTAATGATTAAAATTTTCAGAATTTTGTCGGTTCAGCCTTACCATAAACATGATTATATTAAACTTATAGAAATACTTTTTGTTGAACAGGAAATTTATCAAATTCTGTCGTAATATTTACATTCTCGGACAAAAATATTGCATATTTTATTTCAAGACTTTTTTTCATTCATCTTTTCAATAGCGACTTGCAAGGTTTTGTCGTAGGTATATATTAATATCACATGATCACCATCTACGTAATTGATATCGTTTATTTAAATCATAAATAGTAAAGGCCCTAATACACTACCTTGTGGAACTCCAAAATCATTCACTGACTCTTGTGAGTAGCACCTATTAATTTTTGTTATTTGACTCCGCGAACTGAGGTAACTTTTCATCCACTTCAAAACTACATCACCTATACCATAATATTTGAGCTTTTGGATTAATATATCTCTGTCTATTGTTTCGAAAGCCCTCTTTAAATCCAAGAATGTACAAACAACGTAATTATCTTGTATCAATTTTTTCTTTCCAATTTGTTATTGTGAACTGTAAGGCAGTCTCACATGAATGTTTTTTTCTGAAGCCTGACTGACAATCTAAAAATAACCTGTTTTCATCAAAGTATTGGTTGAGTTCCTCATATACTGCTAATTCCAATACTTTTTCAAGGGTTGGAAGAGTATTGATAGGACGAAAATAACATGCTTCATAAGTATTATTTATTTTTGGTATTGGTTTACTGTGCTTATTTTGAAGTGTTGGAGAAGTTGTCCTGTTTAAAGAGACGTATTAATAAAGTTCAGTATAACATGCCCCAAGGTGTTGAATGTCTCTTTTAGAAAGAGACATTCTCTGTTCATTATCTCAGATCTATTAATTTTATCTATTGAAAATATTATATTTTTCAACTGCGGCAAGTCTATCTGTTTAAAAGAATTTAATTTACAATTTACTATGTCAAAACTGTTTGAACTACAGTCTGACTCAGAATTTATATTGTTTACAATTTCACCTATACTATTGACAAAATATTCATTGAATGCATTTGCAATATCAATTTCTGTGCTACAAACTTTCATTTGATCACCGACATTGAATACTATCTTTTCAAAATTATAACTTTCAATTGGATTTATAAGTGATTTTAAATATTTCCTCATTTCTTTTGCATTATGTTAATTTTCATCAATTTTCTGTTCATAATAACGCTCTTTCTTTACTTTTAACATATTCACATAGTCATTTCTCACTCTCTTATAATTTTCCCAATTTATATGTTTACTTAAGTTTGTGCTTTGTTTGTTAAAAAGATGCTTGGACATAGTCGCTATAGCTGAATAAGTAAATTAATGGTACAAATTACAAATTTTGAATAGTGTGCCTTTTCCACTATTAATGTCTATTGTTTTGTTTATCATTGTCAGAATGGCATTTCGAGTACTTTGTCATGATTCTGAAGTTTTCTTAGTGAGATGCCGCATTTTAGTGAATTAGTTTGTGTTAAACTTGTTACTTGAGTCAATGAGGAATGCAGACAAGAAGAGATTGCATATCTATCAATCAACTGTTTCTGGTATTGTGAAGCGATACAAAGAGACTGGCCAAGGACGTAAGAGATGTTCAATGAAAACTCAATCTTGGCGAAATTGCACGCTTACAGCTCCGTATCTTAGAAATGATTTACTGAGCACAAGACAAGTTAACATAAGTGTCAAAACAGTAATGAGAAGACTCAAAGAAGTTGATTTAAATCCAAAACGCCCTGTCAGAGTTCCTAGGCTTCTCCCACGTCACAAATCTACACGGTTACAATTTGCCATAGCCCATGTCAACTGGAATGAACATCAGTGAGGAAAAATTATTTTCACAGATGGAACAAGAATACAAGTTATGGAAACCAGATTGACATGGTCGAATATACAGAAGATTTGGAGAACGTTTGTAATCTGGTACATAACGTTAGCTTTGGTGGTGGTTCCATTATGTTGTGGGGTGGCATTAGTTGGGACAGTCGCATCGAGCTTATAGAGGTGAATTTAAGAATGAATGCTGACTGGTACATAGGCAACACCTTTGAAGAGCATGTTTTACCTTACGGCGGCTTCATTGGTTACGACAATTTCGTGCTGATGCATGATAATGCTCGTGCACATGCTGCAAGAACAGTCACCCAGTATCTTGTGAAGTTGTTGGACTTGAGGTAGTGGAGTGGCCATCAAACAGTCCTGATGCAAATCCCATAGAACATATTTGGGACATCCTAAAAAGACATATATGAGCTTGAACTCCAGCTCCTTACTCAATTGAAGAATGAAGAATTGCTGCACAGGAATAATAGAATTGAATTCCACAAGAAACCATCAAAAAACTTTTGCGGGGTATGCCTAGGAGGATGCAGGCTATCTTTAGAGTTAGGGGTGGAAACACTAAATACTGAACTGTTATTATGTTGCCTTAAAGAACTTTCATTTTGTCGTCGTCATTGTTGCTTGTTCTGATTAAATATTATTACCAAACTAGTCTATTCCATTACTTCTTCAATTGTGTTATAAAGTTTCATTATCTGGATTATTTGGCAATCAATATACGTTGAATACTTGGCATATACCATTTAGTAATGAAAACTGCTTAAAGATTCAGACAAATAGAAATAAACATGAAATCAAAATAAAATATGCAACATTTTTGTCTATGAGTGTATGTGCTTGCAGAGTGACAATAATGAGACAAATCTCTCTCAGCTTTGGTAGATTTTTCAATATTATCTTCCAAATAATCTTCATAGCATAAAAATAAATCAAATTTCCGTGGTAATCTGAGATGTATATTTATCACATTATTATAGGAATACACACTTTATGTTATCTATAGGAACCTTGGTAGATAATTTTAATCAGTTGTGGTTATTTTGTAGAGTGTAACAATAACATCAATTTTCTTTATCTTTTAAATGTCTTGAAAGTATTATTTGAAACATAATGGCTGAGATAATTGAGAAATATTTCAACGGTCATTTTCAATTCATTAAACACATGCACCAAATATAGTGAATTTGTAACGAATAGTTGTGCTTTAAATAAACGTACACTCAAAATGAGCTGAATCAAATCGTAACTCTCCCAATTTGCAATCATTTGGATCAGTTGACTACTGGTCAATGTTTTTTTGCATTTTAAATTATTGTTGACCTCATAGAGCTGTGGGTCAATTGTTGAACGCTCGTTATTTGAAACAAGGTGAATTCAAATAATGGACTACATCCACTTGTATTATAAATAATGTATGTGTTTAAAATTCTCATTGTGGCATTGTTTTTCATAAACAGAGCTGTTCTAAGCAGTTTCGTGAATTTAAAACTCAGGTAAATTTAATGTAACAAAATACAATAACACAGAAGTTTGGTATAAATTTTACATCTTCATCTGATTCAAAGAAAGATTTTAATTTTTCGAAAATTGATTGTGTGATTGTGCGTTTGATAATCAGTTTTCAAATATTATCCAACTAGAAATGTTGAGTAATATTTGAGTGATAATGTATGGCATTAATAGTTTATATAAGGTCATTCCGTTCAAATTAACAAATCAACAAAAATAATTGAAAAACTGGTAAAAAAATGGAATTTTTGACAAGTAATGGGATGTTGAGTGCACATCAGTATGGCTTTCAGAATTTTAAGAGTACAAGTGAAGCTATATCAACAGTGTTGCAATTGGTGTATAATGAAATCAACAGCGGGGAAGCCACTACAGCAGTGCTTTGTGACTTATCCATAGGTTTTGAGGGTGTCAATCACATCATATTGCTTCGGAAACTCACAAGATGTGGTTTTAGGGATAACAGTCATATTTCAATTAGTTCATAGCTTTCTGATAGAACATCATGACAAGGACAAAAACACATTGCATAACAAAATGTGCCAAGACATGAAAACAGTGAAGAATCGGTTTGACTCGAATCTTTTATCATTGAATACCACTAAAACAAATATATTAGCATTCAAGTGTAATATACCTGTAATATACAATGAAAAATAACTCCACTTTGAAATTTTTGGGAATTTATTTAGGTGAAAATTTAAAACTCTCTCAGCATATTGCACACAGCAAAACAAATATATTAGTATTCAAGTGTAATATACCTGTAATATACAATGAAATATAACTCCACTTTGAAATTTTTGGGAATTTATTTAGGTGAAAATTTAAAACTCTCTCAGCATATTGCACACATCAACAAAAAATTGGCATCAGGTTGTTTTGCACTGAGAAACATCTCAAAGGAACTGGGGTTTGCTGCAGCGAAAGCATCTCATCTAAGGTATGGTATACCTTTTTGGGGTGTTTGCAGTAAACAACTTATGCAGTCGGTTTTTGTCTTGCGGCTATTAGGTACTTATGTAAAGCGAAATGGCAGGATTCATGTAAACCCCTTTATCGAGAACATAGAGTCCTTACGGTTGTTTCAATATTTATACTGGAAACAGTATCGATTATACATAAAAATACAAGAATCTACAGCTACAGCCACATACCACACAAGGCAGTTAAACGAACTGAATATATCAATTCCAAAAACATGGTTGGTTCAAAACTCGTTGCGGATGATACCACTATCACAGTTACAGGGGGAAATATTGATGTACTGCTTAGTAAGGTAAAATGCATAATCGATAGTTTTAGCTCCTGGTGTCAGCGAAACAGATTAATATTAATTAATAGTAAATTTCTATAATAGGATAAATAATGTTCCAGATGACCTACAAACTATTGACGAAATAAAGATTAGTAGTGAAGTAAAATTTTTAGGAACTCACTTGGATGAAAGCTTATCATGGGATCTGCAAATAAAAGATGTTTGCAACAAATTAAACAAGACATTCTTTGCTTTAAGGCAAATGAAATCATGCATGGACACAGCAGGTCTACTAGAAATCTATTTTGCTATGGCATGTTCACATATATCCCTCAATATCATAGCATGGGGTTACAGTAATGAATTCATCAGAGTATTCGTAGCACAAAAGCGCATTGTTAGACTAATTTTCAGCATTGAACACCGAGACAGCTGTAAACCAGTATTCGTTAGGGACGTTGTCCTAGTTCTTTTCATGTAACCTTTGCATATGTGTGTATATATAGTTCATATTTTATTTTAATCATTTACATTTTATACATTTTTACTTCACATCTCATACTTCATGTTTATATTAATATTTATTTATGACATTGTGTTTGTAACAAGAATTCTATTTAACCGTTATCAATGATCAAAGTTCGAAAGTCTCTGTTGGAAGACCCCATAGTTTTCGTGAATTCTATATTGATTCTATGTTGAAATAAATTTCTTTTGATTTGCGCAACCTTTAGACATTTTTTAAAATTGAAGTTGACGTATTTCTGTTACACAATGAAGCTTTTTTTATCATTATTGTCATTGACACTAGGTGGATGGCAAAACCATCAAGGCACAAATATGGGATACCGCCGGTCAGGAGAGGTACCGCGCCATCACGGCAGCCTACTATCGAGGCGCTGTAGGCGCCCTCCTAGTCTACGACATAGCTAAGCATCTCACCTACGAGAACGTCGAACGTTGGTTACGTGAACTTCGAGATCACGCCGATCAGAACATCGTCATCATGTTGGTAGGCAACAAGTCAGACCTCAGGCATCTCAGGGCCGTGCTGACGGATGAAGCGAAGGGTTTTGCCGAAAGGAATGGACTATCGTTTATCGAAACGTCTGCTTTGGATTCCACGAATGTCGATATGGCTTTCCAGAACATACTCACTGGTGAGTGTAAGTGTGTATATGCAGGTATATCAGGATTGATAAGGGATGTTAGCATTTCAAATGATGAAAATGATATTATTCGTTTGTTCATCAGAAAGTAACATCCAATTTTTTTTCATTTCCGCTGCAAAATTTATATATAGGATTTTTGTAAAGCAGAAAAAAGTATATTAATGAATATACGACATAAATATTCAATTAGTACTACTCAATCAAATATCTCTTTAACATAATTCCAAATATAAAAGTACGTTTCGTAATTTGAAATGCTTCTTAATTTCGGAACTATCAAAACAAGTTGGCAACGTCGCACGCACAGTCAGAACAACAAGAATATAGGAAGAAGAAGAAAATTGAATTGTGAAATATGAATAAGTTTTGTGGCTTAATGCACGTCAACAGTAGCAAAAGCCATTATCATAGAGAGAGATAATAAGTTTTGCGGTGTTGCCAAGTTCATATCAAGTGATGTCATGACCAATGTTTTCACTCGATTCAGAAAATTGTGATAAATGTAAAACGAGGTACATGCAGTTTTCACCTATGTGGTTATTTCAATATTAGTGTAAAGATCTAGTGTACCAGACCCATTCCAGTCAATTTGATGTTAGAAATGCTAAATTAGATACAGATTTAATTCCTAACTATGGCATATATGTACTTTATACATGTAATTTATCATTACTACTAATTTACAAGAAACAGATACATATAGGCCAGATGGCAAGACAGGTTTGACACCAAAACTATTTTCAAAGGTTTCCAACATTTAAAGAGTTTACCTGAAAATGTATAAAATGTGGATTGAACATATGAAAAAACATATATATTTGTAAACAATTGACTTATTCATTCAGTATTTAATAAAAATCAATTAGGATTTAGGTCCAACAAATCGACAACACAAGCTGTGATGGCTATAGTTGATACAATTATAGAGAATATTGAAAAGGGGCTAGTGTCTGCTCTAACTCTATGTGATCTAAGTGAGGCTTTTGACAGTGTTAATCATGAGCTCCTACTAGGTAAATTGGAATATTACGGGATATGTGGCAGAGCTTTAGAGCTAATGAAAACCTACTTATGTGGGAGAAAACGAGTTGTTTATACATCTGAAAATTCTAGCACATGTAGATCCATTTTGCACGGGGTACCACAAAGGTCCATACTGGGACCAACTCTTTTTGTGGATTATATTAATGATATTTTTCATTTCTTACCCCCAAGCTTATCTTTTACTATGCATATGATTTATCAATGGTAGAAGCAGACTCAAATGTTAACGACTTAATGGACCTCTGTTCTAGAACAGATAATGATGCTGAAACTTGATTTCAGAAAAAAGCACCTTACAAATGCTGAACTTAAATTATTAACCTACTCGAAGAGATGCACACCTGAGGCCTACATTTTTTAACTGGATCTATCAGCTTGAAATTCACTAAACTTACATTTATACAATAAAATACCAACAGACATTACCGGTCTGAGTTATGACCGTTGAAGGCTAGAGTTAAGCACTCACTATTAAGACACTTTTCTACTTCATCAACGAATATTTGAATTGTGAGATATTAATATTTTAATATGTTACATTTTTTTATTTTTTTATTTCCATAATAATTGTTTTAGATGTAATCAGCGTGTATAACAACAACTATTGTTCAATTATTGTTATTCTTGTTTGTCAGTTTAACTTGTCACTATTGTACATTTTATAGTTGATGTGATGAAATAAACATATTCTATTCTATGTTGTTGTATAATTTTGATAACTGATTCTTTGTACTTTTTATTCTTTTCAGAGATTTATAGAATCGTCTCCCAAAAACAAATAAGAGACCCTCCCGAGGGTGATACTATCCGACCACAAAACGTAGAGCAAATAGATGTGAAACCAACAATGAATTCTGACGGTGTACGCAAACAGTGTTGTCAGTAATAACCGATTGTTAGCAATACTATGCATGTTACACTAATCATGGGGTAAGTTTTTTTATTCGATAATATTGTTTCTTTTATATTACTGTAGTGCCCTACAATTTCTTTCAAATAGAGTATGCTAGATGTTGCTAGGAGATGTGTTTGTTTAGAGAAAATATAATAAATAATTAATAAAAACTTCAATCAAAAACGTTTTTTAAAAGTAGTTTGAAAACTACAATTGGTGATCCCAAGAAATGAATAGTTTTTACGCATTTGATAAAACCATGGTCAAGTTACTTCAAAACCTTTCGCGAGAGCAGATAGTTAACCTACTTCAATATTTCAATGTCGATCCAGGTGGAACTGTTCCTGACATGAAAATAATGCTGGAGGCTGAAATTCTTAAGGAGTATCCTGGAATGATAAATTCCGAAGACTTTGATTTCACAGAACTTCTTTGCAAAATCAGTAATCGAGGAATCTCAAGCAGGCGGTAGTGTTATTAAAAGGTGAACAAGCTAGAGATTCTTTGTAATAAGCTGATTGAAAATATCGAAAATAATAATAGGAGAATGGAAGGCATAGAAAAACTTATTCAACAAATGAGTAAAGAGTCTACACCTATACTTAATCCAGCAGTTACTACGCCTTCAACTTCCACAGAAAAAGATCGTTGTTCTATCAGTCAAACTAGTCCAGATTACAGCATGGAGCCAGAAACTGAATTCAATCGTGCAAAATCTGTCACTTTACCATCCTTCTGGAAGACTGAACCTGAACTGTGGTTCAATACCAGAGAAAATATAATAAAGAATTAATAAAAACTTCAATCAAAAACGTTTTTTAAAAGTAGTTTGAAAACTACATGACTTTATTTTCAAACTTTATTATATTATCTCTTTTTTCATGTAAGCTTTGTCAACAGCAATTTTTCTTTGGGCAATGAAGTATGTTTATGATTATTGTTTTTTTTTTTATGGACTTAGCCTGATACTTGTTGAAAAGCAATTTATTTTTTTTTTTCACTTGGTAATCTCCAATCAGCTTGACCATACAAAAAATATTGAATGTATATATTTATGTTTTGTCAAATGGATGACATATCCTTCGAACAATGAATCGATGCCCAGTAAATATCAGGACTTGAATAGTTTGTTTGTTGGTTCTGAGAAGGGCATTTTATAATTGATTAAAATAAGTATTGCTATAATATAATAGTATAATACGTGATGAAATTCGGCCACACTGGATGAAATTTCATGATGAATGTATATTATATACGTTATTGAGATTCTTCAACAAACCTTTAGAAAAAAATTACTTGTTTTACCATACAATAGCTTCTTGAGGTGTAGGTGAAAAATTACTTGTTTTACCATACAATAGCTTCTTGAGGTGTAGGTGATACTTGGGCAGTTGCAATGACAAGCTTCGACACCAATAGCCAACGAGATTTGTTTTCTGTCTTCTACTGTAGCTGCAAAGCAACTAGCTGAAAACCAACTAGCTGAAAACCAGAGTCCAAACAATGCATTTATGAGTCAACAGCAGACAGTGATGTTATGATCCGCCATAGGTCTCGGGCTGAACCACAAATGCATTGCCGCACTCAACCGAGCTTACAGAACAAGCCTGAGTAAGTTACCGCAATGACATCTCTCTCCCCTTATGAAGACGCCATCTTATAGGATGTAATGCATTTGTCGTTCAGCCTATCACCACTACCTAGACCTATGGCGGCTCGAAACAGTGCTGTCTGAAAGTGAATCTTGAATATGTTGTTTGGGCTCTACTAGAACCCCTGAAGAAGCTTTTATATAGTGAAACACGTATCTTAGTTTTGTAAACTCTAGTGAAAATCTCACTATAAAGTGTATTGAAAACTGTCCAACTGAAACCAATTCTTATGATCTTTTGCAGATTTCAGCAGGTAGCGCTGCCTTGTCCAATTCACTTCAGCTACTGTTTCCTTTTCGGTTCATTTTATATATCCTCAAACCTGTTTGAATGCTGAAATTGTGCTGTGACAGAGCGGATACCATTTTTTGCTGTGCACTTAGTATGCTGTCGATTTGAGTTTGTAAATTGTTCGGTACTTTATATTTTTAAAAAAATATATAAATATCTTTGACTGTTAGGGAGTTGAAAATTTATCTGTGCAGAAATCTCGACACACGCACACCATCGTTTGTCTAATGATTTTGCCTCCTGTGAGATTTTTAGTAGTTGAATTATTTCGGACTCGTAGTTATATCCGTGGGAAGTGTAGATAAATAAACTTTCTGTTATAGTATATTGTTCAGCTGGCCATTACGGTTATTTCATTTGGACTTCTGGAACAAATGCAATAATTGTTGTCAAATGTAATATAAGCTTCTTTATAAAAAATATTATAAATTTAATTTTTAAATAAAACTTATGTAACTGATTTTTATTTTTTTTGTTTTGAGCAACCTTTATTTCCTTGAATTTTTTTTACAGAAATTATATTTTACAGGGATGTTACTTTTAAAAGTAAGATCTCCTTTGTCCTATAAATTGCGAGAAATGTCAATGCATTTGCATAACATGCGAGACTTCATGTGTGATGTGTTAGCTCACATCGATGAATTGAAAATAAACCTCTACGTAGAAACAAACGTCTCATCAACTTTGAAACCATTTAATGACACTCTAAAAAGGGATCAAAACTAAAGTAGGTAACTACAGACAAATTTCTTTGCTTTGCTCTCTCTTAACTGTTTGAAAGTCATTAGCTTTATTCCTAATCTAGATGTCGCTCCTGCCAAAAGTTATTCGCTCTCTCGGCTCGATCATACTACATTGAGCAGAGATAGTGAACAACTTCTTGCAGGAATGGGAATGACAATCTGGGTGCCAACAAACTAGAAGTAAAATTAAATGTTTTCGATGAAAGACTGAAGAAAGGGCAAACAACAGTTGTATCTCTCATGACTTCATCTGAAAAGTGTACTAGAAAGCATTTGAAAGATGGCATCATGTAGTAGAAGATATGGTTTGAATGCTCTGTGGGTTTGAGTGGAAGTAGAATAATGAAAGATCAACTACTTGTCAATTTCTCTGTAATATGGGTATGGATTTCAGAGTAACAAAAGACAGAGAGGCCTTTTCCATCCTTACATTGAAGGCAGCATAACTTTGTTTGTTTTCGGCAAGTAAGTTGACCGTATAACAGTGGCGGTTGGTTCAGTTGATAATCGGAGGGATAGTATATATTTATAAAATAAATAATTTCAGGTGAAAATGTATTCTGTTTAAATAGTTCCTACAGGAAATGTGATTTATTATTAATGATTATGGAAATGAGTCCAGTTTTTCTACCACCTACTAGATTTTTATTCATGTATGTATAGAAATCGCACGTTAAAAAGTAAGACCTCAATAGTCCTTAGCTCGCACAAGTTTCTCAACTTCTGAGAGTTGTCGTTCGTATGGGGGCGACAGCTGATTAACGGAAAAACAGATTTTAAACAGATAATAAAGCGCGTGGTGTACTGGGTTAAAATTAAATTATTTCTAATGAACTAATTCATAACAATGATAAATGTTAATTTCAAAAGTAATGAACTTTGCTTCATAAAATCAGATGAAGAAATTTGTGATTCATTCTTGGATTTGATGAACAAGCGGTACGGTTTGTGAGGTCCGATGTAAAGAATTTCCGATCAGAAATCATGAGTATTTATAATTACAATTGAGGTTTTTGATATTATTATGTGATTTCATTAATAATTGGTATCTAGGGGTATCAGTGAGAGATGGCAATACAGTCTATATACAAAGGATTTAGCAATAGTAGAAAATTAATATAAAAATGTTTCAAAAATAGGTTCTTCAATATTTTCTATGGAAATTTCTTTCACATCTCATCTTGATATTCATTATAACTGTTGAGCTTCTGACGTTTTTATTGAAGTAACAATGATATTTAAACCCCAAGAAAAATTATATCCTTTATATCTTTTATTCAATGTTGTTGATAACTATTATGTTCAATGTTGAAAATAAAACAGAAAACTATTTTTACCAGTATAAAATGAGTACATATTCAGTGAAAAAATATGCTGAATTTTCAATTTACCAACATAAATAAAAGTACAAGCTAACTTCCAAACACTAATTAACAATAAAAATTAAACGTAAATTCACAAATAATAATAAATAAGAGTTATTTCATAATAGTACACCACACTAGCTTTTATAAATAGTTTGCAGATACAAGGCAACATCTTTATTCAAAGGAAATTCACTCATAAATTTTCCAAAAGTCCTGCATATATTGAATAAACTTCTTTTAACTGCCGCTGATACAGCTCCTTTCATCTTACAGTTGAAGTCATCGTACCCCGCAATCTTTTTGGATAGGGCACTAATTTTGTTCAGTTTGTCTAAATTCTGTTTCAATTTTACTAGAGTACTGACTATTGCTGGTATATCCTTCTGAACAATTCCATACTTATCTTCCATAATTGAAGCACATGCCAAATCCGATATCCCTTGACAGGTCCAGATTATTGTGAGTCCATTGGCAAGGCACTTTTGGATATTGGCTTGAGGTAATTCCCCAAATAAAAAGTTGATTCCAAGAAGAACTTTCAATATTCCAAACATGTTTGTTATCTTTTCTTGGAGTTTATCCGTTGCAGCTTTCACAGATGATATAACTGGCACAGATGTATGTGTAATGTCAACAATGTCTGTCATCATATCGGATGAACAAGACATATTACGAAGGTTTTGGTACTTAATGGGACTTTGTATAGGCACTTGCGGCAACGGTTTGGAAACTCTTTCCATACTTTCGGTGGACTTACTTAAAAGTTCTGTATATTCAGTTAATAACCTCAAGACACTTTCTACTAAAGAGTTCCAAATGTGGGGATGCCCTCCAGGTTGTGAGAGTGTAAAAAACACTTGCCTTCTCTGCTTTGACCATTGAGCCAGGTTGGAGAGATCCAGACAAGCCAAATTTTGTACTATAGGAAAATCCGATGTATGAATGAAATCTTGAAGGCACAAGGAATCATCTGTTTGTTTGCACGGAAGAAATTCCACAGGCTCCGTAAGAAAAACATTGAAGAAAAATCGCATCATGTTCATATTGAAGTAATATATTGTGCTGAACATCCACAACTTCAAGTAAATGAAAGATCCGTCACTGGTTTCTCCTTCCAGGAGACCAAAAGTTGCTCTTAAATTTTGGTAAAACATATTTCCCCATAATGTATACAAAAACACGAAGTAAAATAAAGGCCAAACAGACTTTATTAAACTTTCTTTAATTAATGGTATTAATTGAGATTTGAACTGCAGAACTTTGTTTTGATGGATAACTGGAAATTCTAGATGTTTCTCAGAAATATACACCTTTGCAAAGTAATAGAAACCTGTCCATAAGCCACTGGAAATGAGATAAAGCGAACCCTCATTCAAACAGTAACTCTGACCTTTGCAGATGCTGGTGAGATTTTGATGCTCCCCTCCAAGCGATAGAAACATCCATACTGAAGCAGTTCCCACTATTATGTTCAACACCAAAAGGATCAGGTTTCGTATTGAGAAAGCTGATATGAATTGCTGGAATCTTGTAGAACAATAGCTAGGTTTGGAGATGTAGTCTTTGGAGCAAATAATGCTTTGAGCGAAAATGATCGTGATGAAAGGTATTACAAACAGCCATGTGCTCAAAGACAGGAAGGTGTTCACCGTTGACAATATCCAGTCTGATGGATGTGCGATATTGATATTTGATATAAATACATAGGTCAATAATACAATAAGTTGTGAAAAAACACTGCATATCACTGAATAATAGAGTTTTTTCAAAAGAAGGTCTTTAAAAGTAAAGGTATTTGTTATGAGGTTAGAATTCATCTTGCAGGTTTTTCCTCAATATTCACTTTTATAATTCATCACAGATATAAACAGTTGATAACTTTGTGATTAGTCCATAAAATTTGTCGAAATTTTAAGAGCCTTCGGATTCGTTTAATGTTTGAAACTTCTACCGCTTCTAACTTCAACGGATTTTTAAAAACTGATTAACTAAATACGAATACGAACATCACGAAACGAGAAAACAAACTCAAACACAGAATATTCTGTGACAGAATCGTTATCTATATCTATAGGTTTACGAGTCCCGTGAACTCTCTCTCTGGATGGGTCGTTGCTTCTTATTCAGATCGCTGAACTTGAATTGTCAAGTTCAGTGATTCAGGATGATACAGGCATAATTGATCACAATTTTAAAGTGTTGTGTCAATGTTTTAAGCTAGTAATAGAGGGCTATGTTTTATCAGATGTTTTTTGAGAATTAAATCTCATATATGTTTTGTACAAGCTTTCAAACTAGTAATATTTCAGTGGAATACAATGGTTTCTTGTATGTTTTTGAAAATTGAATCCTATTAACATTTTCACTCAAATATTTGTTTAGCTATCGTAGCTATATTTGAGTTTATTGCACATTTGTGTATTTCTATTTCTAGACTAATAACTTTGAGTTCAAATTCATAAGTATAAGAACTTGAGACAAAAAGTAAGAACACAAACTCTAGCAATTAAAAAATGAAGAGAGATTCATTAATGGTCAATTGCATCACGGTGATTTTGAGTTGCATATTCGTCTAGTGCCAATGAAAAAAATGTGATTGTGGAAGGATTTTGTAGGAGTGATTGACTAAAATAACTTTTTATCAATATTATTTTTGTCAAAGCATAAAAATAATAGAAAAACTGAAGGATGAATAATTTTCACAGCGATTGAATGCGCTAGACCTGTTAAACTAATCAAAGTTATCAAACATTGGTGCTTATGTCAAATAATGTGATTGTGGAAGGATTTTGTAGGAGTGATTGACTAAAATAACTTTTTATCAATATTATTTTTGTCAAAGCACAAAAATAATAGAAAAACTGAAGGATGAATAACTTTTACAGCGATTGAATGCGCTAGACCTGTTAAACTAATCAAAGTTATCAAACATTGGTGCTTATGTCAAATGCTGTCATGATTAATGTTTTTCAGAAGTAATACATTTCGGGAATTTGTGAAATTTCACACAAATTCGAAAATCTTGATTTTGGTACCAAGTTTTTCAAATTTATATTATAATTTATATATTTTGGACATTATATCAAAATATATTCATTGTGCACCAAGATTACTCGAGTAAAAAAAGCCCAATTTCGTATTTATCAACATTTTGCTCTCAGACAAAAACTTTCGTGTTTGAAAATTAGGATAAAATATATTGACCGTCGTTCTTAGAGTTTTACCGAAAACCTGGGTTGAAGTTGAGTGTTTCCTTGAATTTTTTGAGGAGTCAACCATATTCTCAAAAAATAAAATCTCAACTTTTTTTTCAAGGATCTAAATGGTAAGTTATTCCAATAATGAGAAATTGCAATTCTGAATATATTTTTTGAATATTTTGTAGCTGTAACTATACTTTTAAGCATGCAACACGTATTGCGATGATGTAGATGACTTTGTTTGACCACTTGAAAGATTAAGTTACAACTTTGACCACAGAACACAGAATAGTAAATAATTATTCTGCGCTTTGACCCTGTCTATGGTTATTTGAATTATTATTTATTTTCTAGAAATATTTTCTTATCCAGAGTGTATTTATAAACAAATTAACTACAAAATGAGTTCTTTACTGTTTGGCGAAATCGTTGAACCCACTACCAGGGCCCTAATAGACGATGATCTAGAAGAATATCCGGAATATATACAGTAGGTAAAATTAATGAATTGCATTTTTTATTAGAGTTGAAAATTCGTTTTCAGGCCATTGGAATGGGAAGGAAATTGTGAAACTCCAAATCAAATTGATACTCTTGTTTTTGTGGAAACTGAAAAAGTGAAAAAACTACTCAACTCTTGTGTTTTGCTTAACCTGAAATCCATTGGTAAGCTCAAAAGTGCAGGAGTTGAGATTTATAACATAAAGGAGAATGTCTATGTGATTACTCATTTTGAACAAAAAGATTTCAACACAGGAGAGGTAATAACATGCTTCTCACTACTAACTTAATTAGAGTTTTTAAACACTACATCATGCAAATTTTCAAATCCTTCATTTCAGATAGTGGAGGCTTTTGAGAATTGGATCAAGATTGCAAAGCACATTTATGCAGTTACTTCGGATTCCATATATAATTACCAAAATGGAGATTTATATGAGAAACCTTCTGCACTTCTGAGGATGCTCTCCAATGATCCAGAAGAAAAAATTCATTGTGGTCAACTAGAAACCCCAAACTTAGTAACAGGCCTGGGTGCTAATGTGTTATCATATTGCATTCATACTGAACTGAAATGCACTTTATTTATTGCATATGTAGACAATTCACCTTTAGATTCAGCTAATATAGGCGTTTTGTTGGACTTGTTTACAAGACTTGATATACCAGTGAGTAAAAAAGTTATTACAGAACGTGGTGAAGATTTATCATCCAGTAATTTGTATATATGAAAATATAAAGATACAACTGTAATTTTTTTCATTATTTTACTTTGAATAAACCACAATCAGAATAAATCCAAAAGCAAGCACTTTTTCCAGGCTTCAGAAATACAATACTTTTTTGAGCGTGTTTTTCACCAGCCGAGTTAGCGTCTTCATCTCCTTTGTATTGGTGTTTCTCTCAGGATATTACCTGATGTAACCCAAGTACAGCCAAATTTAAAGAGACATACTTGCACTAAGGCTTTCTAACCATATAAAAGAATAAACAAGAAGATAAAATGTTCAGTTTGAGTAGAGCCATGAAGATTATAGCAGTCTACTATCGAAAGTGCTCGCATATAATAATTAGATTATTAAAGCTTCAAATCCTTTTTGTGGACAAATGTTAATATTAAAACTGAAAATAAATATGGAAGATGCTATCTTCAGATAAAAAAGAAATATTTTCTGAGAAAAAGAAAATTCACTTATTTTTTGAAAATAAATATGGAAGATGCTATCTTCAGATAAAAAAGAAATATTTTCTGAGAAAAAGAAAATTCACTTATTTTTTGAACAGATTTCGTGAATGGTGTCAAAATTCTTGACGACGTAGTCGCTGAATATACAAAGATTGGTTACGCTGGATCTCTTATTGATAAAGCCATGTTGGTCATTGATAAGTACTGGAGAGACATGATGGTAATTCAACATGGACTTGCGAATGGGATTTGTTTTCAGTATTTCTCTGCAATGCAAATACTAATAACCAGAGCCACCTTTGGGAAACATGTTCATCAATGATATTCATATTTTGAGTATTCTGCAGATACTAAATACATGGTGTCTCTATAAGGGAAGATGTCTATGCTGTTATTCTAGCGTTAAAGAGGTTCAAACTCCATTCACCTAATGAAGATTAGCCCAAGGATTAAGAAAAAAATAAAAATATGTTTGTTATCTTGTAATTACAAAATCGTACAGTAAAAATTAGAAACAATAATGTGTTTTTCAGAATCAGCAAATAATTGAATAATATCACAGAAACATATAAAGTTTGTATAAAATATCAATACATAATGAACTGCTACCTGCGAATATATTTATTAATAGTTCGAAAAGTACACCAAAACTGCGAAAACATAATTCTCGTCACACGTTTTATCAACCAATGGTCATAACTATTGACAGATCGTAATAAATACTAATTATGAAGGCAAAACCGTGCTAGAAAACATACTTCTCAAATTGTAATGTTTTCTACGTGTTTTTTGCAAGAGTCCAGCAAATAAATTATTTTAAGGGAATATGATATGATTATTTTCTGATCAAGGCAACTATGTTATTAAACATACAAACGAGAATATTGTTTTAACTGTTGTGTGTGAGAAAATTTCAATTGATATTCATTCAAATTAGAATTGCCAAAAAAGAGCAACAGATTAAAATTAGGTTCATCACAATTTTTTTTTAAATGAACAAATAATATTGGATTTTCAGATTCCATTCTCCTGCCGTAATGTAATTATACTAATTTTTACTGAAAAATTATGGTAAGAAAAAATGAAAAGTAAATTTGAGAGCAGTTAGATGTGGATTTTTTCAACAACTTGTAGAGGTTAATTCAAATTAAAAATTCTACTATTCATAAGAAAATATGTAGATGAATCCACTTTAATATGTTCTTGAAATTATCACTTTATTATAAAAAATATTGCCTAAAGATGCCTTTTTTTAAATTTTAATCCTAAGTTCAACGTTTTCAACTTCGTAACAGTTTATCTGATTAGTATATGAAATGCCACTTCAGCACTGAAAAATTGTTATCAATACTTTTAATATTAATCGAGGACAGTACAAATTTCTATAGTATCATTTATGTGGAAAACACTTCTATAAAACTCAAATCTATAATGAATGAATCATCTTCCAGCCATACCAGAACTGTGAAAGACTATTCCCAATGTAAGTTTTGCCAAACGAATTGGCATCATCAGCAGAGGATTATCTTTATGATGCTATATTAGTTGTCAAAAAATACCCCAAGAATAGAGTTCATTTTTAACAGGTAAACCCATATTAAATTAAGTTTCACTGTTCTGGTATATGAGAAAGAAGTTTATTTAAATCAGTTAAACTGTGAACAAAATGACATTTCACATACTGACATTTCCAAAGTATTTTTGACGATTTTAATGGAAATATATTACTCCAATGTTGATCTGACCACACAGATACAGTTTTTTCTTAGCAAACCTTCCTACAAGACATTTTACTCGAAGATTATGATGAAACACCTCCTTATGAATGGTTGGTAGTTCACAATTCATCATTTTTTAGCGCCCATTTATAGTGTTTTGCAACTAAGATGGCAACTTTGGAACTTATTCTCTTGCAGCCAGTTTTTGAAAACAATTTTGTACCATCTGGTCCCCATTCTATAAACTCCATCACCTCACTAAAAAATATACCATAGAATCAGTATAGCCAGCAAAGAAGTAATAAAAAGTTCGGAATTCATGAATTTTTTCCCAGAATAGTTGTGATAATTTTCGAAAAATGTGTATGTGAAAGTTTTTATAATTTCCAAGAATGCAATTCTAACAAACTTTTCATAGTACTGAATAATTATACATTCTCTATACAACAAAACCAATGAAGGACCTTTTATAGATTTTTTCATGTAGACATGTCTCTTGCTCTTTACTTGAGATCTTTTATTTTTCTATAAAATATAATCTTACAAGCAAATAAAGAAAAAATATATATATTGTTAGTCTACATTATATATCATGCAGACTGTTCAAGAATGCAAATTTAATCTGGTATTTGAATTGGTTTATTTGCAAAAATTATCGCTTTGATGTTTCAGGCTCAATACGTTGTACCTATATCTTGTAAAAGCATTCCATATATAACAAGTAATAAAATCTTTGAATGGTCCATACTCAACTCACTTAATGTGTTCTTCTGATGGAAATTCTACGTTGCGTTCCCTGAACTGGTCTTTAATACATTCTCTGACATGACGTTCTTCCATTGGTAGAAACGGAATATAATGATCTATCAAATTGCTCTTGATAGTGTCAGAAAATTGAAAACCACCTGAAAATAATTTAACTAGGTGAATTTGTTTGAGGAACACGAAAAGTACTTCTACTACTTTCAGCATTCATCTTTTCATAAAAAAATAAAATAAGTGTTATTCAGTGAATATTTAATTTTTCGAATAAACACTTTGCTTTTTGATTTTCTGAACACTTGCAGTTGGATTAACGAAAGAATACACACATGCCATCAACAAAATAAGTGAACAAATACGTAATATAGCATATTTTTCATCGGGAATTGAAAATAAATCAGTTTACATTTGTGTTTAATCAGTTTATGGATTTGTCCCAAAGTCGTAACATGGAGTTACTTTGGAGTGAATTTCAAAAATAAAAACAACTTTTCATCAGGTTGTTCGGAGCAATGGCCACATAGTTTCCTTTTCTATTATTTGTTAAATGGTCGACAAAACACCGAGTCTCAACTTCACACTTGTTGAACAAGTAGATGAAAATTCAGTTAATTTATTTAGGGTGCACCTTGTCAATAGTTTGAATTTCTCACCTCGTATCAAATACCTTACAAATTGTCTCTCAACTGAAACATATTTTCACCCAATAATGAAGTACACAGTAATTATATGGGGATCTTCATATCACTCAGTAAATATATTTACTCTTCAAAATAAGTATTCTTCCAAATGATCGAAAAGGTGAATCTCTGAGTATGAACTGATTCAAAACTCAAAAAAAATGTATTGCTGAGAAGAAACTTTGAAGAATATTTTGATTTCTTGACTGATATGCATTCTTTGGTTGTCCCAACTGTATTGGAATTATATTTTGAAAGTTGTCTACTACATTTCGCAATTCTGTCAAGTTCAATATTATCTGAAAAAATCCACTAGCCTTCTTCATTGAATGCTCCCTTGGTTATCAAACTTTCAAAATCCTTCAAGTTCAATTCTTTTCTTGATTTTCCCTTTTTCCAGAGATCTTGATAGTGCTCGTTGATGAGGCTAGCACCAGTATTCGAAAGAAAAATGAATATGGCTCTGGTATAGTCAACACCGTCTACATTATTTCTGTAATCAATCATAGGCTTTATCGCATTGAGCACAGTTGGCGGCATTTTGTCAACTTCATCGAAAATGAACAGCTGCTGACCACATTTTGAAACGTTATATTTCAGCCAACTATATAAGTTTTCCTTAAGAAGAACACAGTTTCAAAAAGTAACACTGGATGAAAGTTATTCACTTACTCGATAACTTGCAGCATGACTATTTTCAGGAAAGTGAACCCTGCCTATGAAATTATGTACAAATTTGCTATACATTCCATGCTTGAAGAGGCTTTCTGCAATAAACTTTGCCACATAATTTTTTCCTCCTCCTGGCCATCCATGGAAACTAAGTGTCAAAGCCTTTGAGGGCTTATGGTGTGGATTCCAGTGGACTAAGATGGCATCAACAGCATTCTCCACAAAATGTTGACCATATACTCGTTTGGTCAAGGAGTTTCGTAATTCTGAAATGGCAATGAACTAATAACAAAAATTGATTTATGAGTGAATAAAGACTTTAATGAAAGGTAGAATTGGCAAATTAAACCAACACAAACACTGTTCTCGCACGGCACCAACCAGCAGTTCATACCACATATTGTATAGTCCATATTCTAATGTCACAAAATTGATTAGTAAAAGCCACATCACGAAAAGGGTTGCACCTCTGGTCTGTGAAAGCAGTAGTTATATAAGAATGTATTAGTAGAGAAAAAAGGACTTCCAGGGTGTGAAAAAGTTACTTCCTTGTCAAATATCAACTTTCAACAAATGAAACTAATGTTTCTTCAATTTTGATTGATGAAAAGTTGATTACTGCGGTTATAATTATTTCACATATTAGAATACTGTGTTACCTCTACCTCACTGGTGACAAAGATCATTACAATAGTATATTTTGCCCTTAACCTAGAAGTTGCCGTATTTGAAATGGTAACAAAAAGAAACTTACTATCTGTATCTCCAGGTATATCATCCTTATTACAACATTCGGCAACCCAACAATATGGATTATAAGAAAATGAACAACCGTGTTCGATATATAATAGAATCAGTATAACAACAGAAACTAATCTATTTTTCATGTTTTTAGCTTGTAATTACAAAAATTTTCATGGATTTTTATAAGTTTTGTACATCTTGGATTGTAAGTGCATAATTATCGAACAACAAATTACGACAGGAATGAACCTTAGACCTGTAGACTTCCCAAACCCACACTTGTATTTTTTCTTTATGATGAAATATGAAATTAGATTTTACTGATAGGTGTTAGGTTATCATTTCCTCTTCTTTTTTGTTTTTTTTTATGGCGAGTGGAGTGCCGTACCACAGATATTCAGTGGCCATACTACAAATTTTCTGACTGCTCCAGGTGCAGGTGAAAACACCTTACCCCTTGCCTCTCATGTAAACCTACGACTTTGTAGGTACGTGTGGCAGATACCTAATGAAAAAACAACAACTAACCCAGCTAACGCCGCGCACAGAGTTGAAGTAAAAACATTCAACACCTGTGCAACGTCTTTGATTTGAAAGGTTCGTCGCTAATTATTTCCCACTATGTACATAATTTTCAATTTCCGTTTTCAATTACTTGCAAATTCTTTCTTCCCCTTATTCACCATGTTAAAAATGTACGTTTTTTTGGAAATCAAACTCGAGAATAATGTTTGCATTTACCACTATAATTAACTTCTTTGTACGGAAACTTCTTTCCATAATTTTTTTCGAAACGCAATAGTCGGTTTTGGTGTCATACCAATAGTTGTCTCGCTTGCCTTTACGTACCGATTTTCATCGTTTTTTCACAGTTTGTCTTCAATCGAGGACCGCCTGTTCAGTACTGATGATATCCAACAGGCTGAAACAGCTGTCTACCGCTGTTGTGATGTCTATACACAGGTGAATGCTGGGATTAGCTTTTGTTTCGGAAATTGTTATAGACATAGACCGAGTGGGGTATTTCTAGCGTTGCCGCAAGATAGTCAATATTTTTATTATAGTATATACAAAGTCAATTCGAATGACATAAAAACTAAATTGTTACCATACGTTGGTAGTTCGTTTTCCAGACTCGGTACATTATAGTTGTTCGGATTGACTTCGTGTAGACTATAATTTTAGTCATCAATTGATCTTTGATAAATTATGTTGCCAATACTATTATTTTTTTTTGTGAGGAAATGAGTGAGGTTATGGCAAATAAACCGCCGAAGTTGACGTTGTAAGGACAATGTGTAAAATATTCAAGAAAGAAAATAAGCAATGAAGAAACTAACAGAAGATGTGAATGAGAAATGTGCGTTTCAGTATTGATCAAAGCGCAGTTTGAGTTCGTAAATCAAAATATAAGAACAAAATGTACCTACCTAGGTATGACTTTTTAAAAAATGAAACGTAATTGCTGTCTCACTATTGGCCAATCTATATATTATATTAGATGCGTTTTGTTCCCGCTAATGCTAGCTATTCCAGTTTGAATCATTAGGTCTTATTTTGATTTCTAGCCAATAGGCTACCAGTAAAACAAACGTGCTCAGTCACCGTAATATAGATATTTCCATTCCAGGAAGTATTCACATAAAAATAAAATTTGTTCACAATGTACACAAACCGACACCGTTAATAATTCTCCTAGATTCACAAAAGTAATTCAAAGAAGTTGGTAAAGTTTCATGCGTTTGCATATATAATGCAAAATTATATTTTATGGCAGTGTGATCACAATTCATATCTACCTCTCAATTTACATCATTAGGTTGTAGAATACACGACAGATTTGCATGAAAATTCCAGTTAATACGCATCTTAATATGTCTTAAACAAATATCACAAGATTCAACTCAGAAAACAGCATCATCTACCACTTTCGATCTAGTGCTATTTTCAAAATAACGAATTATTTCCGCCAACTGTTTTCTCACGACAGGAATGTTTATTAAATTAAAAAAAAATAGAATTTTTCGGAAATGTCAATATAAAATGTCACCTTGATATTTTTTTTTCCCCGTGATGTATACACTCGAATACGCAGAGCCGCGAGTGATTCAGGAATAGGGTCCCACATGTCGGAAGATTCGAACCTCAAAAAAAAAAGAATTTGTAGTTG